AAACAGAACTGAATGTTAGTTTCTTAATTTCTGCATCATGAGTGGCCTTTTTTTAAATAATACTATAGTAAGAAAGAAAAAGAAAAAGTAGAAGAGAAATATAAGAACAGTAAAGAGAGAAAATGAAATTATACAACATGTGAAATGAACACCAATAACACACAGGACACCACACCTGACATCTGACCATCACACATAATCAGGCAAATACACATACAAGCATTCACATATACACACACATACATACATACCTACATACACACACACTCACATACACCCCCCCACACATATATTCATGTACATACACATACATTCATCCAGTGATTGTCAACAGCCCCAGGATCCAAATGTGTATTTTTGTGCGGTTGTGAACATGCATTAAATACAAGATTTCTCCAGTGGAATATTAAACAGTGATTGTGGAGGACCACAGACCCGACCCCCAAGATCCAAGGCAAACATAAGGGGGACCAGAGCCTCAGATGCCAAGAGAGACCCCAAGCACTGAGCCCCCAAGGACACCCATGCAGCAAGAACCACCCACCCACCCCCAGAGAGGAACACAGGAGAGAACCAGGAGAGCCCCACCAGCAACCACACGCAGAACCCACAGGGCCAACAGCTACCACCATAGGCCCCGCTGACCCCCGCCACACTGGAGCAGAACCAGGCACGGACACAGAGACCCGGATCCACAGCACCCACCCCCCCAAGGTCAAGGCCCGACAGGGCCAGAGGACCCAAGCCCCACCAGTCAGCCACCAGGCCGAGCACATGCCCAGCCCCAGACATTGAGAGCCACCAGCGCACCGGTGGGCAGAGGCACACCCCACCAGAGGGCAGAGCGGCCAGGGGCACTTTCTTTCTTTATTAATGAGAATACAGCTGTTATTTATAAATACTGCACATGTGTAATACTTTATACTGCATAAAACTTCAGTGTATACTTTGTATACAAAGACTGTCCATCCGTCCGTTTTCTTCCTCTTATCCAGGGTCGGGTCTCAGGGGCAGCAGTCTAAGCAGAGACCCAGACCTCCCTCTCTCCAACCACTTGGACCAGCTCGAATCCCAAGGTGTTCCCAGGCCAGCTGAGAAACATACAACCTCTGGCAAAAAGTCTGGAATCAGCAGTCTCTGATGAGCACTCATTCAGACATTTCATTCTGTAAAACAAACTCAGATCAAAAACATGATACAATAATGAGGTCATTACAAAGTGCAACTTGTTGCTTTCAGGAACACTCAAAGAAATGAAGAGAAAACATTGTGGAAGTCAGTGAATGTTACTTTTATTGACCAAGCACAGGGAAAATGTATGGAATCACTCAATTCTGAGGAAAAAAGTATGGAATCATGAAAAACAGATAAACAAAAAGACCATTTAAAATACATCAGTAGTATTTAGTTGAACTACCTTTGGCTTTTATGACAGTTTGCAGTCTCTGAGGCATGGACTTGATGAGTGACAAACAGTATTCTTCATCAGTTTGGTGCCAACTCTCTTTGATAGCAGTTACCAGATCAGCTTTGCAGGTCGGAGCTTCTTCTGGACCATTTTTTTCAATTTCCACCACAGGTTTTCAGTTGGGTTGTGATCTGGACTATTTGCAGGCCATGGCATCGACTGAATGTGTCTTTCTCCAAGGAATGCCTTCACTGTTTTTGTCCTATGGCATGATGCATTGTCATCTTGGACAATTGTTTCCTCACCTTCAAACATCTGTTCAACTGAAGGGATGAGAAAACTGTCCAAAATGTCAATGTAAACTTGTGCATTGATAGAAGAATGAACCACAGTCATCTCCCCAGTGCYTTTGCCTGACGTGCAGCCCCATATCATCAAGGACTGTGGAAATGTGTTGTTTTCTTCAGGCAGTCCTCTTTATAAAACTCGCTGGAACGACACCAAACTAAAGTATCAACGGGCCTGGTACCACAAACTCCTGGAGTACCCCCCACAGGAGTCCCCGAGGGACACGGTCCAACGCCTTCTCTGAGGATAGATACAAAGATTTTATGTACCCTAAATAATATTATATATACATACATAGTTTTCTTTATTTAACCAGGAAAAGAAGTCATTGAGATGAAAAACGTCATTTTTCAGAGTGACCTGGCTGAAACAGCAGCACACTTCAGCCACAGACATCCTCGGCTGAATGTGGACTCAGCTGATTCTGCTGAACAGTGACGACTGCAGAACCCAAACAAGCTGCATGTTTTGTTTTCACCACAAAAAGACATCTAGTTAGAACTACAGCTGCTGGAACCTCATGACACACACACACACACACACACACACACACACACACACACACACACACACACACACACNCACACACACACACACACACACACACACACACACACACACACACACACACACACACAGAATGATCGTATAAAAGGCCGGTGTTTCCCACTCTGAGACATCAGTCCTGCTCCAGCTTCTTCCACTCATCCACTGAAAACTGAACAAGGTAAAGTTCATTTCTTTTGTTCTTTATGTTTAAGTTTTGTTTATTAGCTTCATTTATCATCTATAAACAAGACAGCATTTCTCCAGTGTTTGGAAAGTTAATAACAATTTTTGTTTCAAAGTAAAGACAGTAATTTTTTTTTTTTGCACAGATGGCTTCAAGTCTTTTCTTCACTTTGCTCTTCTGTCTGAACTGTGGACTCTTGGTTGAAGCACATGTAAGTTCACAAAACTTATTTATTATTCATTTCTCATTAAAAGTCGTCAGGTTTAAACAGTTTGGTCTGTTTGAGACAAAGTGTATCAGAGAAACAGCGTAAAGTTCAGCTTCATGAGGCTTCCTGCAGGATTGATTTATAAGGTTTGTTTTCCTGAAGGCAATAATAAAAGTAAATAAAGTAATAAATCTTTCTCAGAACTGTCAGACAGATGTTTTTGCAGTAAATCATCTTTCTGACACACATATAAAGATACATCCCAGGATTTACTAACCTAACCTGGTTAAAAGCAAAAAGATGAAACTTTACAGCAGCTTATTGAAAACTGAGTCCAACATGAGTTTACCTGCTGACGCCATCTGTGTGAAAGTTTTACATGTTTTGAATGTGATTCTGATTCATATATAAATATATTTGTCTTTCCATCCACAGATTAATTGGTTTCTTTTTCCAAAAGGTTTGTGTTTTTATAACATTCAGGTCAGTTTGTTGAGGGGAGGTTTGCAGAACTGCTTTATTTCATTCTTTCCACACAGAAAACAAAACCAGAGTTTGGTTCTTGAGTTCTGATTTGTGTTTCAGTTACCGACTGCACTTGTCCCGTTGGCTGGAATAAGTATAAAGGACGCTGCTACGTGTTTATAGCTGATGAGCTGATGTGGTCCGACGCCGAGGTGCAACAACTCAAACATCTGTTGCTTTTCTACTTAAACCAAGAGCAGAAACCGTCCTGAGCTGCTCCTTTATTTTCTCACTTCCTGTTTGCTTCTCGTCCTGCTCCTCAGAACTGCTGCATCAAAAAAGGTGGGAATCTGGCCTCCTTCCACAATTACGATGAATACAAATACATAATGGAGCTTGTCAACACCGAGACGGGATCTTATAAAAGGACCTGGGTCGGAGGTTGTGATGCAGCAAACGTGGGTTTAAAAAAACCTTTTTTATGAAAATCAAAACATTTCTCATGAGACATTTATATTTTAACTTTTAATTTCAGGTTTTTGTTTTAAAATCCACATTTAAACTGTTACTTTTCTCATCTTGTCTCATCAGGAAGGTGTGTGGTTGTGGTCCGACGGGTCCAAGTTTGACTACCCCCACTGGGGCACCGGACAACCCAACAATGCAGGACGAAGTGAAGACTGTATGGAGATCAACTTACATGGTACAAATAATAAACTGTTATTACAAATAATAAACAGTTATTACAAATAATAAACAGTTATTACAAATAATAAACAGTTATTACAAA